TTGACCTCTATTTCCCCATTTCCACTACCCCATCAAGCCCCTGGTAACCACCATTTTACTCTTTTCCTATGAATCTTGACTTTTTTTGTAGATTCCATATATAAGTGAGACCCCAAGTAGTATTTTTCTTTCTGTGTCTGACTTATGTCACTTAGCATAATGTTCTCCAGGTTCATCCATGTTGTCACAAATGGCAGGATCTCCTTCCTTGATAAAGCCAAATAATATTCCATTATTTGTGAATGAACATGGGAAAGCAGATATCTCTACAAGGTGTTGATTTCATTTCCTTTGGGTATATACCCAGAAGAGAAATTACTGGGTCATATGTCAGTTCTATCTAATTTTTTGAGAAATCTCTATACTGTATTCCATAATGGCTGCACCGATTTACATTCCCTGTGTACAAAAGTTTCCCTTTTCTCCACACTCTTGCCGACACTTGTTCTCTCTTATGGCTTTAATGTTTACATTTGAGTCTATGATGTATTTCAAGTTAATTTTTCAGTATGGTGAGAGGTAGGATTCTAAATCAATTATTTTGCATGTTCATAACCACTTGTCCCAGCACCATTTATTGAAAATATGATTCATTCCTCAATGAATTATCTTGGTATCCTTGTTGAAAATCACTTGACCATATATGTCAAGGTTTATTCCTAAAACCTGAATTCTATTTCATTGAACAGAAATATCTCTATGCCAGTACCATACTATCTAAATTATTGTAGCCTGGTAGTAAGTTTTAAAATTTGAAAGTGGGAGTCCTCATACTTTTTCTTCTTTTTTATTAAAGAACTGTTTTGGCTATTCTGGGACTCTTGCATTTCTACATGAAGTTTAGCATCAGACTGTCAATTCTGGCAAAGCTGAAATTTTGATAAGGACTGTATCAAATCTAGTGCAATTTAAAGAATACTGCCATTTAACAATATTAAGTTTTCTGATCCTTAAACATGGAATGTCTTCCAATATATTTAGGTCTTCTTTAATTTCAACAATATTTTATAGTTTTCATTGTCAAAGTGTTATACTATTTTGTTAAATTTATTTCAAAGATTTTTTAATGCTAACTGTAAATGGAAATCTTTTTGTAACTTGAGTTTTGGATTCCTTAATGTTAGCATATAGAAATAAATTGATTTTTGTATATCCTGCCACACTGATAAACTTATTTATTGATGATAATAGGTTTTAGTGAATTTCTTAGGATTTTATATATATAAACTCATGCCATCTGCAAACACAGTTTTACTTTTTCCTTTTATTCCTTCTTACCTAATTGCCCTGGCTAGAACCACTAATCCAATATTGAGGTAAAAGTAGCCTTACTCTATAATTATTAAAACCATGTCACAATTTTGTTTTATACTAACTCCAAACTCTAATCCACTTCAGGGATAATTTCTGTTGGTTACGTTTTCCTTGGGTATATGTCAAAAATTTCTTGTATCTTTGCATGTTTCATATATTTTTGTTAAAAATTGTACATTTTACATAAAATACTGTAACAGCTTTATATCAGATCCCTCCAACATCAAAGGTCTATTATGTTGCTGGTTTTGTGTTTGTTTTCTTCTTTCTGATTATTTGTTTAGTGACTTACCTGAATTAATTGTGTAGATTCTGTTTCTCCTGCAATGTGTAGTTACTTAGTTCTCTGTTAGCTTTTTCTGTTAAGTTTTTGATTATATTTTTAAGCATAGTTTCCTGGAAGTCAGGGGATCAGCATAATTTGGACATCAACCAATGAGCAGTCAGAAGATTCTTTTTTTTTTTTTTTTGAGACGAAGTCTCACTCTGTCGCCTAGGCTCGAGTGCAGTGGCACAATCTCGGCTCACCGCAATCTCTGTCTCTCAGGTTCAAGCGATTCTCGTGCCTCAACCTCCCAAGTAGCTGGGATTACAGGCACCCACCACCACGTCTGGCTAATTTTTGTATTTTTTAGTTTTGTATTTTGTAGAGATGGGGTTTCACCATGTTGGCCAGGCTGGTCTCGAACTCCTGACCTCAGGTGATCCACCCACCTGAGCCTTCCAAAGTGCTGGGATTACAAGTGTGAGTCACAGTGCCCAGCCTAATCTTTGTCTTTTAATTGGAGTGTAATTTTTTGTTGAAAACTTGACATTTCAGATAATATACTGACAACTCTAGTCAGATCCCTTCCTCTGCCCGAAAGGTATATATTTAATGTAATAAAGTGTGCTTAATCCATCATGCTGCTATTTACTTTTTATGTGTTTCTTCTGTTTTTGCTTCTGTTTTTGCTTTTCTTTTCTCAGATTCTTATTCAAGTTTTTTTTAAATCATGTCATTTTATCTCCTTATAAGCTTTTTAGTTATATCTTTTTCTATTGGTCTTTTAATTGGCCCCCTGGATGTTACAATGTTTATCTTTGATTATTAGTTTATCTTAAATTAGAACTTTTTACTGTTTTTCAAGCATTGCTAGTACCTTATGACAAATTTAAGTCCATTTACTCCTTGACTACCCTTTATGCTATTGTTGTCATATATTGACTTCTACGTATTTCATAAATGCTAAAAGAAAGTTATTATTGTGTTTACCCATCAATTTTTTATTATTATTATACTTTAAGTTCTAGGGTACATGTGCACGATGTGCAGGTTTGCTACACAGGTATACACGTGCCATGGTGGTTTGCTGCATACATCAGCTTGTCACACACATTAGGTATTTCTCCTAACGCTATCCCTCCCCCAGGCCTCCACCCTCGGACTGGCCCCAGTGTGTGATGTTCCCCACCCTGTGTCCATGTGTTCTCATTGTTCAACTCCCACTTATGAGTGAGAATGTGTGGTGTTTGGTTTTCTGTTCTTGTGATGGTTTGCTGAGAATGATGGTTTCCAGCTTCATCCATGTCCCTGCAAAGGACATGAACTCATCCTTTTTATGGCTGCATAGTATTCCATGGTGTATATGTGCCACATTTTCTTTATCCAGTCTGTTCTTGATGGATATTTGGGTTGGTTCCAAGTCTTTGCTATTGTGAACAGTGCTGCAATAAATATACATGTGCATGTGTCTTTATAGTAGCATGATTTATAATTCTTTTTAGTGATCGCCATTCTAACTGGCGTGACATGTTATCTCATTGTGGTTTTGATTTGCATTTCTCTGATGACCAGTGATAATGAGCATTTTTTCATATGTCTGTTGGCTGCATAATTGTCTTCTTTTGAGAAGTGTCTATTCATATCCTTTGCCCACTTTTTGACCCATCAATATTTTTTAATCCTTACCCACCTATTTAGCCTTACCAGTGCTTTTGGTTTGTTCTTGCAGTTCCATGGTTCAATCTGGATAATTTTCCTCCTGCCTAAGAAACTTGCTTTACTGAATCTTAGAAGCACAGGTCTGCCACCTACAAATTCTTTCAGCTTTTGTTTGTTTGAAAAAAATGTACGTTTTTCTGCTTCTCATCTGATTTACTAAAAGATTTTTTCCAGATTTACTGAGGTATAATTGACAAAAACTGCATGTATTCAAGGTGTACAACATAATGACTTGATTTACATTTTTACTGTGCAATGATTACCATAATCAAGTTAATTAACATACCCATCACCACAGTTACTGTCACAGGAGAGGATACTAAAACAAATTTTTATTCCAATTTAATTTTTCAAGAGTATTTCTTCATTGGATAAAGAATTCTATGTTGTCAAGTTTTATTCTTTCGACACCTTTTAAAATATGCCACTCCATTGTCTTTGGAGTTCACAGTTGCTGTTAACAAGTCACTGTCAGTATTATTGTTGTTCCTTGAAAAATAAAAACAACCTTGCTTGGTTGCTTTTGAAATGTTTTCTTTATAATTTAGAGGCTTGACTCATATATCTAGCTGTGATTTTCTTGTATTTATCCTGCTTGGGGCTCACTGCACTTCATGAATTTGTTATTTGCTTTCTTTTATTAGTTTTGGGAAATTATTCCATCCTTTTGTTTCTCTCCTTTCCTTCTGGAACTTCAGTCACACATATTTTAGAAATTCTATGTCCCATATGTCTCTTAAAGTTTGTTCTGTTATTTATGTATTTTTCCTTCTCTGCGCTTCAGTTTGGAAATTTTCTCTCTCTCTGTCTTCAAGTTCACTACTTTTGTATTCTGTTGTATCCAATCCATTTTTAAACCATTGAATAAGCTTTTAATTTAATCAAGTGCATTTCTCAATTCTAGACTGTCCATTTCTTTTCTATGTGTTCTAGTTCTCTATTTGAAGTATCCATTCATTTTAGCCATTATTCCTTCCATTTCCTTTTAAACATCATTGTTATTTTAAAGATTGTAAAATACAGCATCAATATCATATGTAGATCTTTTTCTAGTGCCTGCTTTTCTTGATTATCAGTAACATTTTCTGACCTCTTCACATGCTTTGTAGTGTATTGTGTATAAAAGAATGTTGTAATTGTATATCTCAATCACAAAATTGTATCTATGTAATATCAGCCATAATGTACTTTAAAAGCAGAATTTATCAGTATTGCTTTGCTATTCCTACGTTGTATTTGTTAACATATCTTTCATCTAAGAGTTTTTAATCATTCTATAATCTTTTAATTAAAAAAATTCCTATAATAATGTTTTTCCAGGATGAAGTCATAGTTTTTTTTTTATTCTAATACTAAAATTCTTTTCTCCATAATTACTATTCTATGAAAAAAAATACTCTTTCTTGAAGATTTTCCCTTGTCCTGGGTCTGCAACCATTCAGGTTAGTTAAATAGTTATATATTTTATCCCTGAATCCCTACTGCTTAGCTAAGTACTTGGTACAGAGTAGATATTGTAAAACTGTTTACTAAAAGAATTAGCAAATGGTCAACTAGTAGCCAACCCAAACTGCTAAGTCATGTTAACTCACAACACATGAAATTGTATTCAAAATTAGCTGTAAATATGTGATGAAAACTGTTTACACTATCATATACTTTGAGAACCCCCATATTTGAGTCATAAAGAATGATTTCTTACCAGCTCTTCTCAGACCTACATGGTGAGTGAGTGATACAGAAGATGACCTTTGCTTCGGGATAGTCAGTAGATTTGAATTAAAAGGCCCATTTAGATAGCATCCTTGACTAAAAGGGAAAAATAACAGGTTAAAATTTGTAAAAACTATGAAAAGTTTCATCTTTTTTCCTTATGGTCCTCAATTTAATTAGCAAATATATTCTCACAAATTCAGAGTTTGGGCCTCTAGTGCCTAAGGTCTAAAGCAGGAGTCAGCAAACTTTTTCTGTAAAGAACCAGATGGTAAATACTTTGGCTATATGTTCTCTATTGTAACTACTCAACTTTGCCGCTATAGCACAAAATCATCCATAAACTAAAATAAACAAACGGGTATGGTTTTGTTTCAATAAAATTTTACTTACAAAAAAGCAGGTTATAGACCAGATTAGGTCCATAGGCTGTAGACTGCCGATCCCTGGGCTAAAGCAGGTTATCACAACTACTTTGAAGGTTTCTTGAAACATAGGCTGCTGGTCTCATTCCCAAGGTTTCTGATTCACTACGTCTGGGGTGGGGCCATATAATCCGCACTTCTAACAAGTTCTTACATGATGGAGTTTCTGATCCAGTGACCTCACTGAGAACTACTGGACTAAAGTACAGTTTTTCATTTTTTTCTGTTCCCTATCCTCATAGATGTTGACAACTTTTATTAGTGTAGGCAAAAAACAAGCAGTAAGCAAATAATACCACCCAATGAACTCATCACCCAATGAACTCATCTCCCTGCCAATGTTCTGTCATTCTTCATATTTTCATTGTGTGAAAACAAGTAATTCAAAACCAAAGTTTGGAACTTTTATTTTGAGACTTAAAGGAATGTGATTTTGGGACCTCAGTCATTAACAGGCAGCTGTAACCTAGGCAGATACAACCTTGATTTCCCTGATTACAGATTAGCCTTTTTTCCCCCCTAACTTACATTGCTTTGCTAAATGCTGCAAAAAACTAAAGGATGTCAGAGAAGACTCCTTCCCTCTTTACTGCTGATCTTCATTATAGATTAACTTCCCTTTTTCTTCTCGTACACAAAGACATGTTTTTTAAGATGGAATGTTAAATATATTCTTTAAAATTGGAAAACGAAAACAAACAAGCTGTAACTAATAAAACTGCTGTAACTCAGAAGCCAACTTTTTGTGGAATATGTTATTCTGCTAAACATCTTTGTTTTCTGCCTATACAAATATGATCCTAACTTTTCAACTTTGAAGCACTGACCCTATTTCCTTGGAGTCTGTGTTTCCTGGATGGGCATCCTCAGCTTGTGTTTGAATACTCTTTTAAGCTGGATTCTTATTCTTTTGATTATTTCATACTGGCAATTGCCTACATGTAGAGTGGCAAAGACTGGAAAAGAAGAGTAACAGTACCACCCAGGGCAACATTCAAATAGAAAAATCTGTGTGTTCCCGGGCAAGACGGCCGAATAGAAAGAGCTCCAGTCTGTAACTCTCAGCAAGATCGATGCAGAAGCCGGGTGATTTCTGCATTTCCAACTGAGGTACCCGGTTCATGTCACTGGGACTGGTTGGACAGTGGGTGCAGCCCAAAGAGGGTGAGCCGAAGCAGGGTGAGGCATCACCTCACCCAGGAAGGGCAAGAGGTTGGGAAATTTTCTCCCCTATCCAAGGGAAGCTGTGAGGGACTGTGCCGTGAGGAACAGTCGCAATTCACAGACCAAGAGAGTCCCTCCGGTGCCTACCCCATCAGGGCCCTGGGTTTCAAGTGAAAAATTGGACAGCCATTTGGGCAGACACCAAACTAGCTGCAAGAGTTTCTTTTTGTTGTTGTTGTATTGTTTTTTCCATACCACAGGGGCACCTGGAATGCCAGCAAGACAGAACCCTACACTTCCCGGGAAAGGGGGCTGAAGCCAGGGAGTCAAGTGGTCTGGCTCTGCAGGTCTCACCCCCACAGAGCCCAGCAAACTAAGATCCACTGCCTTGAAATTCTCACTGCCAGCACAGCAGCTGTCTGAGATCCACCTGGGATGCTCAAGCTTGGTGTGGGGAGGGGCATCTGTCATTGCTGAGGCTTTAATAGGCGTTTTACCCTCACAGTGTAAACGAAGTCACCCAAAAGTTTGAACTGGGCAGACCCCACTGCAGCTCAGCAAGGCCACTGAGGCCAGACTGCCAGATTTCTCCTCTCTGGGCAGGGCATCTCTGAAAAAAAGGCAGCAGCCCCAGTCAGGGACTTATGGATAAAACCCCAATCTCCCTGGGACAGAGCACCTGGGGGAAGGGATGGCTGTGGGTGCAGCTTCAGCAGACTTAACCATCCCTGCCTAATGGCTCTGAAGAGAGTAGCAGACCTTCCAACACAGCATTCGAGCTCTGCTAAGGGTCAGACTGCCTCCTCAAGTGGGTCCCTGACCCCCATGTATCCTGACTGGGAGACACTTCCCAGCAGGGGCCAAAAGACATCCCACACAGGAGAGCTTTTGCTGGCATCTGGCAGGTGCCCCTCTGGGACAAAGCTTCCAGAGGAAAGAACAGGCAGTAATGATTGCTGTTCTGCAGCCTCTCCTGGTGACACCCAAGCAAACAGGGTCTGGAATGGACCTCTCGTAAACTGCAGCAGACCAGAAGCAAAGGGGCCTGACTGTTGGAAGGAAAACGAACAACAGAAGAATAGCATGTCCACTCAAAGACCCCATCCGAAGGTCACAAACATCAAAGACCAAAGGTAGATAAATCCACGAAGATGGGGAGAAACCAACACAAAAAGACTGAAAATTCCAAAAAACACAACGTCTCTTCTCCTCCAAATAATCACAACTCCTCACCAGCAGGGGAACAAAACTGGATGGAGAATGAGTTAGACAAACTGACAGAAGTAGGCTTCAGAAGGTAGGTAATAACAAACTAATCTGAGCTAAAGGAGCATGTTCTAACCCAAACGCAAGGAAGCTAAGAACCTTGAAAAAAGGTCAGACGAATTGCTAAATAGAATAATCAGTGTAGAGAAGAAAATAAATGACCTGATGGAGCTGAAAAACACAGCACGAGAACTTTGTGAGGCATACACAAGTATCAATAGCCGAACTGATCAAGCAGAAGAAAGGATATCAGAGACTGAAGATCAACTTGACGAAATAAAGCAAGAAGATTAGAGAAAAAAGAATAAAAAGGAACGAAGAAAGCCTCCAAGAAATATGGGACTATGTGAAAAGACCAGATCCACGTTTGATTGGTGTACCTGAAAGTCACAGGAGAAACGGAGTCAAGTTGAAAAACACTCTTCAGGATATTATCCAGAACTTCCCCAACCTAACAAGACAGGCCAACAATCAAATTCCGAAAATACAGAGAACACCACAACGATACTCCTTGAGAAGAGCAACCCCAAGACACATAATTGTCAGATTCACCAAGGTTGAAATGAAGGAAAAAATGTTAAGGGCAGCCAGAGAGAAAGCTTGGGTTACTCACAAGGGGAAGTCAGCAGAAACCCTACAAGCCAGAAGAGAATGGGGGCCAATATTCTTTTTTTTTTTTTTTGAGATGGAGTCTCTCTCTGTCACCTACGATGGAATGCAGTGGTGTGATCTCAGTTCACTGCAACCTCCGCCTCCCAGGTTCAAGCAATTCTCCTGCCTCAGCCTCCTGAGTAGCTGGGATTACAGGCGCACACCACCAAGGCTGGCTAACTTTCGTATTTTTATTAGAGATGGGATTTCACCATGTTGGTCAGGCTGAACTCAAACTCCTGACCTCGTGATCCACCAAAAGAAAAGAACTTTTAACCCAGAATTTCATATCCAGCCAAACTAAGCTTCATAAGTCAAGGAGAAATAAAATCCTTTACAGACAAGCAAATGCTGAGAGATTTTGTCACCACCAGGCCTGCCTTACAAGAGCTCCTGAAGGAAGCACTAAACATGGAAAGGAAGAACCAGTACCAGCTACTGCAAAAACATACCAAGTTGTAAAGACCATCGACACTATGAAGAAACTGCATCAACTAAAGGGCAAAACAACCAATTAGCATCATAATGACAGGATCAAATTCACACACATTAACCTTAAACATAAACGGGCTAAATGCCCCAATTAAAATACACAGACTGGCAAATTGGATAAGAGTCAAGACACATCAGTGTGATCTATTCAGGAGACCCATCTCACCTGTAAAGACACATCAGGCTCAAAATAAAGAGATGGAGGAATATTTACCAAGCAAATGGAAAGAAAAAAAAAAAAAGGCAGGAGTTGCAATCCTAATCTCTGATAAAACAGACTTTAAACCAACAAAGATCAAAAGAGACAAAGAAGGGTATTACATAATGGTAAATGGATCGATGCAAAAGAACTAACCATCCTAAATACGTATGTACCCAATACAAGAGCACCCAGATTCATAAAGCAAGTTCTTAGAGACCTACAAAGAGACTTAGACTCCCACACAATAATAGTGGGAGACTTTAATACCCCACTGTCAATATTAGATCAATGAGACAGAAAATTAACAAGGATACTCAGGACTTGAACTCAGCTCTGCACCAAGTGGACCTAATAGACATCTACAGAACTCTCCACCCCAAATCAACAGACTATACATTCTTCTCAGTATCTCA